TCTAAAATTCAGTGTCTCTTTAAAAATATCCCAGTCATTTCTGCCTACAACATTCCCAGAGATTTAACTCATGATGATGGAGAAGATACTGTAACTTCATTATCTAGATAGCTAATTCCTCTCTGTTCTCATGGGTTATTATGCATGACCACATTTTTCCAAGGTGTTTTGTAACCATCAAATAGATGGCTAACTCCCGATAAATTACAGCCTATAGCTATAGATTCAAAGCTGTGGAATGATGAACACTTTATAAGGATTATTGAGTCTAAACAATCTTCTTATCCTCTGGAATGGCTAATAAGAGATCATAGTCCCTAATATATAGAAATGCTCCAAAATTTTCATTTTCAGTCTTCTTTGGCAGTTAATAGAGTTTCACAGGAAACATTTAATGTTATATAATAGAAACTTTGTTTTGAATCTTTTATATGCAATGCAACATTTATAGTACAAATTCACCTCTGATCCACATTTGTATCAATGTACCATTGGAAGAGCTTTCGCATTTGTTTTGTATTTAAAAATTTCATGCAAATTTAAAAATTGAAATGCTTATTTCTAAAAATTTGTTTTTTATTTACAAGTGAGAAAATGAAAGGAGACTATAAGGGACTGTTTAACCTGTAAATATAACATCTATTCTTAACTTTTCCATTGCAATCAAATTTAATGTAAATTAGAACAGAAACTACTATAGGCTCCACTGAGGTGGAGGTACTCAGACATTTTTTTCCTCATTGACGGTATTGAAGGACTTCACTTGGTGAAAAAGAGAGTAAACTCCACTGGACTAAACACAACAGAAAAAAGGTAAATGAAAGATTTTGCCAGTCACACTTGACAGTTTCTCTTGGTGGTAATTACTGTTAGTGCTTTTACTAAAATAAAAATTTTGAACATTGAACACTGATCTAGTCAAGGGGAAAAACTGTTCAGCTTCCACTGAATATTAATTTTAACTTGTGCTATTGTGTGCTGGAAATGGAAACAGTCTGGTCATTTTCATGGAAGCACGGCCACAAAAGGTTAATATTGTTCTTTTGACTCACTGAACTGTAGGTTGATTAACAAAAAGGTAAGAGTTTTTCAAAAGTTTAGAAAAAGTGGAACATAGATTACCTATTAGTCAAGAACACATAATAATGCTATCTTGGGCTAAATTCTGTCTCTGTTACAGTGGACAACAAATATAGGTCTGTGAGTCATCTTGAATGCTAGAGGATGAAGGAAGGTTGTTGGATTTCATAGTTCTGCAGAAATAGGTCAAGTCATCTAGGAAAATGACAAGCCTTATCAGAACTAGGAACTATAGGATAGCTGTATATATTTTTAGTAGAGCTTACATGGAGCACTTGAAAGAAAGGAGCCCGAAGGCCTGGTAAGTCAGCCTCCACCTGCAGTGTGGATGATGAGGGCAATATCTGTGTGAATGGCTGGAGATGGACCTGAAGTCACTGCATGCCTACTTTGATCTAAAAAGAGGTGAATGGTATGACAAGGTGTTCAAGATAATTTCAGTAGGCTGTATTATCTCAGGCATAATGCCCTGGTAGCACCGTAGCACAGCATTCAGCAAAACAGCAAAGCTGTTTATATCTGGTGAGCTTGAAATGTAGACAGAATGACCTTGAGTCCCCATGTCCAGATGGGGAGATATGCCTTCCAAAATCCCTTTCATTCAGCTTATTCAGCTTTTAGTATGTCAATACATCTCACATTTCCAAACTGGAAGTTTGTTTTTTTTTCTTCCCAAAAAAATTAACTTCATTGAATCTCATGGATGAGTTGATAATATCCTGTTAACTGTGAAGTAAGTGGAAATTTGGGAAAGTTGTCAATGGCAGGCAGCTCAAGGACCTAGCTCCATAGTTCCTTAGTCAAAGACAGAAGTACTCTCCTTTAAAATCTACAATCCTTTTTCTGCAGTACACAGACAGCCTGGGGCAGTGAAATGCTGCCACCTGTTTGGAGGGAAACGCCTCTCTGCCTGTGGGAGGGCTACAGGAGTGCACCTCCATGCAGGGCAGTAATGGTAAGTCACCAGCCACACCGATGGAAACCCTCGCGCTCAGGTTTGGGGCTTGGCTCAGTAAGTAAAGGAGGAGGCGATTCTCCAAATCTTTGTTTTTAAATGGAAATGTTCTTCTAACATTATGTCTACTTTATATATGCAGTATTCTGTTACATACTGGTGATTATAATAGGAAATCTTTTAATTAAGAACTTCAGCCGTTCACCTTTAACTGCCAATCACTGGATAATTGGCCCTTTTCTAATAGGCACTGCAGCTCAGGTATGCTAAAATGACTGTTTCTCAGAATAACTTACTGAAGGTAAGTTATTTTTGGAACTCATTTATAAGAGAACTTAATTAACTATTCCAGGTCGTTAGGGATACTGCACTGCATTTTTTAATCCTCTGACAGGTTCCTCCAGTTATATTAATTCATTATTATTATTTTCAACTTTCTAGGCAGAAAATGGTGAGACAGAAGCACTGAGCCATCACTGGCTTTCTGCACAAACTAACCAGTACCGATCCAAGAATAAAGGCAGCTTTGGTGAATTTTGTTGCTTCAGCTCCTGCCACAGTAGAGTTGAATGTCACTTGAGGTAATCAGCTTCAGAGAGGATGCACAGCCTTTTGTCCACTGTCATATGGCAAAACTTCTAAGAGCCGTGACACTACACCAGAGATATTTCATCAGGTGGATGAGAGTGAAAAGATTACTCACTGCATATATTACAAATTATATGAAAACAGCACACATCTGGTAAAAAATACAGATTTGTTTTGCAGACCCACTTTACTATTCAACTTTGAAACACATCACGTATTCTGGGAGCCAAATCCCACTTTTTATTAGTGCAAGTAACTTTTGACGCCTTCATCAATTGGAAGGTAAAAATCTAGTCTCACTAGCAAATTAAGCAGACTTTGGTCCTGCAGTGTCATATGTAACTTCTACTTCAAACAACAAATCTGACTTGTAAGTGGAAATTTGTTTTCTGAAAGCTGTAAAACTGAATGCAATAGAACCATCTGCTGAAAAAGAAGCAGCATTGTATCAGAGTAGAGTAATAATAATGAACCTTTGAGAGAGTAGAGGATTTCAGAATTATTCTCCTTTCTAGATCTTCTAACAATGACACTTAGAAGAGAGCTTGACACATCTTTGAATTTGTTATAAAGTTGTGTGATTAAAAGTATTGATTTTATAGCATTTTCATTTTCCAAAGAAGCAGAATAACTTTTGTATATGACTTTTTGACTTTCCATGTACTACTGCTAAATATTGTAAATGAACATCTTTTAAATGTTCATAACTACTAGCTGAATTATTCCTTCTTTTGATAACCAAAACCAAAAATATTTCATTCTGGAACAGAAAGAAACGTGATAAAAAAGAGATGTGTGATAAAATATTGCTTTTTTGTTTTGTTTTGTTTTCAATAAATTAAATACTTTGGTCTGACATTTTTACAGTTCCTCGGAGGTGTGGTTATTGTCTACCAGCACACCTACTATGTAGCACTGCTTCATTCAATCCAGTAATCTCAGCTAAAATCTCTCAAATCCCCTGGATTTGCATGTGTAATTCAGAAGAGGTCTCCATTACCTAAGACAAAAAAAAAAAAAGTCCCCACTAAAACCACCACCCTCTCATCATTCATGTCTAAGTAACCCTGGTTCAGATCATCTAAGATGTGTTGAAGAAAAGGCTATCTAAGAATTATATTTCAAGTCATCATCACTAAACTACAAGGAAATCAATCTGTCCTGTAAGTAAAAAATTTATCTCATAACTGCTGGCTTGTGATGGCCAAAGCATGAACTAAGATTTATTTTTTAAATGTTATTTTTCATAACTCGTTTCTATACAGAAAAATTGATGTTGTGGTTCCCACACCTTCACAACAACTTATCTAGTTAAGTTTTATACTGATTGTCATTTCTTAACTTTTCAGAAGTGTATTTACTAAGTCAGTTATCACCTTCATATCTGCCCACAATTAACCACTATTTTACAAGTTTCAAGTTGTACTGTACAAATCATACAAAGTCACAAATCACTTGGGGGGGAAAAAAAAAAAAACATATTAAACTTTTTTCATGAGCTATAAAAAAAAATCTTAAATACTATAGTTGTTGCACTAGGTATTTCAGAATTTATTTTGGCACACTTATCACTGAAAATAAAGTGCTTTTTCTTAGAATGTTTTCTTCTCTATTTTCTTCCATCTCTTCTCTTCCTGGGAACTTCATACCCAACAAATTGTGAGCAGGGAACTTGTTTGTTAGAGTCTTGCATAAAGTCTCAATGGTACAGGTTGTTACACAGCTTGTATAACATATCGCACAGGGCTGGTAAGTTAGCACCCGCAACGTATAAAAGCATACCCTTCATCCCAGCTCTGAGGAACAAAACCTTTTACATTAGTTGCACTGGTTGCTGAATGCAATTCAGTAGGTATTATGAGTCAGGAGCTCCTGGTCACTGCCCGTGGATAGGCTGGGTATAGCCATAACCAGTGGTACCGTGTCAGGGCTCACCCTGACAGTGAGCACCCTTGACTTTCCACAGCAAACTCCATCCAGGGGAGCAACAAGCAGTACAGCAAAGATCCCTTGTCCACATTTTAAGTGCACAAGCCTGGGGAGCTGTAGGCCCTCAGACTGCTCTGCAACATACAGACATGGTTCAACACTCCTGCCCCCCCCCCCCCCAAAGTGTTTTTATTTGGTGGTCTAACACTTAGTCTATTTACTCGAGTGAACGCTATTTGGGATGACACATCAGCAGAAATAACCCAGTAAATTTCTCCTGTGACTCGGGAGAAAGAAAATTGTGCCTGGATTTGGAGACAAGGCATTTGTAGCAGCTTTCTGCCGATTCAGCCTAGAAACCTACAGGGGATACAGTACGACACGCACAGCGGCGGGGTCGTTCAGAAAGCTGCCCCACATGAGCCCTACACGAGGTTTCTGGCTCAGCGCTGCAGGTGGACATGTTAGCGCGCAGCGCAGCGCCGAGGCCTGCAGCAGGCAGACCTCCTCCTGCCCGCCGCCCCCTCCGGCGTCCGCCGCGCCGACTCCCGGGGCACTAACAGGGCAGGGGCCCCTCGGAGGGGCCGCCGCTGACCCCGCCGCCTCGGGGCGAGCCCCGCGGTGCTCCCCGCAGCACCCGGCAGCGCCGGCCCGGCCCGGCCCCGCGGCCTGCCCTCACATAGGCGCCCCGCGCGGTGCCTCCGCCGCCGCTCCGCTCGCCGCCCAGCAGCCGGGCCGCCACCGGCCGCTGCGCATCGGCCCCCGCTTCCCGGCTGCGGCAGGGAGCGGCCGCCCGGGCCGCCGCAGGGCGAGGCGGCGGCGGCCCGGCGAGCCCGCCGGTAGCTGGGGCAGGCAGTCTGCGCGGCCGCCCCGGGAGGAGGGCGCGCTGCAGGGAGGCGGCCGGGCGGCAGCGGGAGCACACGGCGGGGCCGGCGGCGTGCGCGGGTGGCGGGCTGGCTGGGCTCCGTCCCGTCGCGGGGCAGCGGGCGCCATGCGGGTGGTGGCTCTCATCAGGTAACGGGCCAGGGCTGCCGACAGGGAGGGAGGGCGCGGGGGACAGGCCGGGGTCGTGCTCCGCCTAGCGCCGTCCTCCGGCCCGGCCCCGCGCCTGCTGTCCGCCGCCCCGGCCCGGCTCCGCGGGAGGGAGGAGGGAGGGAGGCAGGGCTGCGGGGGCTGCGGGGGCAGCGGGCTGCAGGTCCCCGCCTGCAGGCAGCGAGAGGTCTGCAGCGGCTTCTGTATTCGCCTCCCCTCGCTGCCGGGACACGGGCGAGAGCTCTCTGTAAAAACACAGCAAAACGTGCACCCCCCAAAACAACCACCCGCCCACCCAAAACAAGATTCTTGCATAAGAAAAATCTTATGCCCGAGCTGCCTGCCTGGGGCTGCGGAGCCTTTGCCAAGTCCCGGACAGTCAGGGGGAGTTTGCTACTTTCAGTTCAGTTTTCAGATATTTTTTTTTCCCCCAATGTCTTATGATCTCCTATGATAGCTTTCCTAGTGTGTCTTCTGAGAGGCATTTAATTTTGCTCACTTTAAAAAAGACAGAGCTTGTTTAATAGTTGCAGTTTGACACAGCCCTGTCTTCTGGGGCTGCTTTTTTTGCACTCCACATAGTCCTGCTGCTTTCGTCAGTTTCTACAGTTGTACTGTAAACAGCCTTTTTTTTTTTTTTTTTTTTTTTTAATTTTTTAAAAGAGATTAATACTAGTTTGTTTTCCTAACAAAGACAGGTGCAGTGCATTCCTTTCTTGAGAAATAATAGTGAATTAGAAGACAGCAAGCTAGGGAACCTGTAAATGGAAAAGGGTTGTGTATATATGAGCAGAGCATTTTTATTTTTGGGTGTACTAACTTTACTGAAGTCTTAACATTTAATCTATTAAATTCTCTCAGGCAGTGTAGAATGTCAAGGCCTGTTGAAATTGTGGTTTGGCCCCAACAGTTACAAGTCACTGCAAACATCATCCAAATTATACAACAGATGCTAATTACACTTCTCAAGACCTGCTTAAATACAGAGTAGGAAAATCAGCTTCAGTGCTTTTTCTTCTTTTAGAGATAAGATTCAGTCTTCCAGGTTTATTTATTTTGATATTCTCTAAGCAGAGGAATGTGTTAAAAGGCAGGATGAAATAAAATCCTAAAACAGGTTTGAAACACAATTGCTATTTTAATGGGCAGTTTTACAAGGATGGATTTAGTTTCAGTAATAGTTTTAAGAAGAGTTTTAAAGAGACATCAAAGTGTCTGAAATCTTTGTAACAGAGCTAGCCTCAAAGATCAGAAGAAAAAAAAAGTGGTTCTTACTTTTGAAAAGGTCAGGATTATGTATAAAACTACTTCAGCCTGTTTCTTTTTCTTCTAAAACGTTGCCCACACTTAAAGTTGATAGTCTTGCTATTAAAGTGGTATTTACGGGCTAAACCCTGTATTGTATATTGTGCTAAATCATAGACTTTTTAAAGCCAGTCTTCCAACTGAAATATGTTTTTTTCAACTCTTTAATTCTTCTAGAATTTTCTTACTGTAAATGGTTATATTTGTCAATAGCAAGTACTTTTTTTTTTTTTTCCCAGAATTCTTTTATGGAATTATGTCTTTACATTACCCTACTTTTTTTCTTCTAATATTTTGTTCATTGATAAGCCTACCTGTTGACATACCCGGAGGACTGTCAAAACTAGTCCTGTTTGTAGCCCAGCTTCGTACACTTCTCTACAAAAAGGCTTTGTGGTTTCTTCTGTGATGACAACTGAGAGGAGTTTCCAGGCAACGTTTTCAAAGCTACTTCAGTATCTGTCTTCATAGCTCTTCTTAGTGCCTTTTTTTTTTTTATTATTATTATTATTATTATTATTCTTTTTCACACCAACACAGCCTAGCTCTCAGCCAGGCTGGGCCTATGCTGGGTCCACCTTCCTCCTACACTATTGATGTCTAGATGTCTGGCTTCATTGGCCTTAATTGCCGTGTGTTTTACAGTTAGATTAGAAGACCTTGTAGGTGGGCACTATTTCCATTTGTTTCTTGACAGTTATTTTCTAGGGCTACGATAACAATAATGCAGAAAATAAATATTATAGTAGCATGTGATACAGAAGGTACTCTAGAAATTTTGGTCAAATTTGGAAAATCTGAATGTAGCCTCATCTTAAAACAATAAATTTGAATTCAACTAATTGTAATTAATTTAAAAGATTAATACGTTTATTCTGGTGTCTTTTTATTTTTAATTTAAAATTTAATTTAAAAATAATTCAATTTTAATATTGAAATGCTCTAAACAGCATAGGGAAATATCAGCTGTCATAATTATTTTTCTTGTTTGGAGTTGAAATTAGAGCTAGTGGGAGGCTCATACTTTGAAAATGAAGCCATTCAGAAAGAAAAGAGCCTTTGTCTCAGTATGTGTCTGTTAAACCTGAAATTTCACTTTATGAAATGAATGCTAACTGTGTTTTCAAGCTATCAAGCCCAGTATCCAGAACTAATGAACATATGATTTTAGACTTTTGTCCGTATATAGATTAGAAGAAAGTTGTAGGTGTGCATGAAAATAATGTCAGGTACAGATGGAACCTCAAATTAGAAATCTACTTATTATCATATTTATATTTACTTTTATAACACCGAAACATAAGCACCTGCTTTATGACAATCTGTAAAGTACAAAAGGATGCCATGTTGTTGATACTGTTTCTACTTGAGGTTTGAGTTACACAATTACAATTAGGGTCAGCATACAGAACTTTAGCATGGATAAAATGAAGGGGAATAGCTTCAAGCTCTTGCATAAATGGTAGATAAGACAGGAAACTTTTTGTTGAAAAAGCTGAAGAAATTTGATAGTAATACTGTGGCCACAAGGAAACTAGTGGCCTGCTGTAGCAAGGATTGTTTGTTACTACTGTCTGTTGTCCTCTCCCTGTCTCAGTGAGTGTAAGGCAAGGAGTAGTTTTATGGAGCTGATCTAGATCTGTGTTCCAGTTCCTGCCCTAAGCTGATTTTTGCAGTTGTAGGTTGAAGGCTGGGAATCTGAACGTAGGTTTTGTAAATGGTGTATATGCTACACCAGTCTTCGTTTTGCTGTAAGACTGTAACATTTCTTTGATAGAGATTAACATTTGTGGAAAAGCTTCTGTTTCAGTTCCACCAGGAGAGCAGGATTCTTTCCTCACTGAGAGCAGAAAAGGTTCCAGTAGGTCTTACTGGACCCTTACTGGATTCAATTCAGTCAAACTTAATTCTCCATGTTTATGGTATCATCTCTTGGCCTCAGAAAAGAATATTGTTCTGCTTGTTTTTCTATTTATTTTTTTAATCAGCTCTCATAATTGTTATCTGCAGGTATCTGTTGTAAAAAATAGCATGTTCCATGCAGAGCCAACTGAAATTACTACCTGTAATAATTATAACTTCTGGCAATGGGATGTACAAATGTACAAAATGTTGAAACTTTTGCAGATGTATCTCATGAAGTATAAATATTACTAAATGAGTGTCTTTATCTAAAATGACTGCTAACACTGGTGGCTCTCCGGAACAGATACTGGTGGTTTTTTTGTGGGTTTAGTCCTTGATAATCCTTGTTCTGAACGGATTCCAGTTTAACTGTTTGTTTGTTTGTTTTTGTGGAAGTTCTCTGATAAGAAATGGGATAAAGATTAGAACTGGATGCATGCTTTATGGATGCTGTATATAGATATTATGCATATCTATATAAACATTGTTTAAGCTTCACTATGGTGAAATCATCCTTATGCTCCTGCTAATATTTTGCATTTTATTTGAAAACTTTGCAACCAGCTCTGTTGATACTAAATTGTAGCAGCTAGGCAAAAGCCATAAGGGGCTAAAATTTTTAGCAGCATTTTTACTTAATTGCCACTGTTTTATTTTTCTTACAGTGGTGGGAAGGACAGCTGTTATAATATGATGCAATGTGTTGCTGCTGGGCATCAGATTGTTGCTCTAGCCAATTTAAGACCTGCTGAAAGCACAGGTAGGAAAGCTTTAATTCTTATGTTTGTTCGTTTGTTTGTTTTTCTCTTTTTTTTTTCTTTAATTAAAAGCAACAGATGCACAACTGTGCCCATCTTAGGTTCCTTTCTATATATGTATTTATATTGAAGGGTTTATTGAAGAAATCCCAGAGACTGAGGAAAAATCTTTTTTTCCTTCAGGGAAGGGGGACATCACACAAGATGAAGATCAGTTAAAAGAAAGACTTACACAAATTGAAAAAGGGAAAATACAAATGTTTTGGTGGTGTATGAAGAGGTTGTACGTGTTCAGTAGCTCAAATAGTAAAAGGTGGTACAGGACATCACTGAACAAAACAAACACCCTATTTCTAGAAATGCTTTAAACTGGCAGAAACCATACAAGTTGCAAAAAATAAGCAGCTGTTTTGCAGCTGCTTGCTTGTGTTTTTATCCTCATTTATCTTCCTCCATTATTCTAGCCCAGCATTTGTGAACTGGATCAAGGAACCAATTGGATTGCAATTGACCTTGGTACACATTCTTCCTTCCTTTTTCCTTCCTTCTAGCTTGGATCAGAAATGATCAGTTCCTCACAGGCTAGGCCTAGGCTTATTGTTGTGAAAGATAATGGGAGCAACTCATTGGTCTAAGCCAGTGGTGAGGTAAGAGGGGGAGATGACTACTGCTTACTTCTGTGTTGGACTAGAATGTAAAATGAAGTGATTTGTTACCCAGCTGGTAGGGGAATATAATAAATATGTTAAAATATATTACCATATGTTAACTTTTCAATGTATGTTAAACAGTTAGGCATGATACCTGGAAACTGCATGTTAGGAAGCTATACAGAGGAAGTGAAACAAAATGGGAGCTGACATCACAAATGAGTCATGGACAGAACTGGCAAATGCTTGGGAATACAGTAACAATTTATTTTCTTTGTAGCTAGGACATAATCATCTCTAATCTTGTTGAAGTATGTTGTCTTTAATATATCCACATCAGAAACGTAGTATATTGTCATTAAAATCATAAAATGCTCTCTTTAAGTGTGTAGTTGGAAATTTTGTGGAAAGTTAATTGAGGTGCTTCAGGCAATGGTGGATTCTATGCCATTCATTTTATTTTATCTTGTACCACTGTTGCCTGGAGAGTCTCAATTAATAAAGAAACTCAGTATTCTGAACTGGATATCAGTTTAAAGACCTTGTCATATTTTATGTATGTTGAAAAATACTGAGTTTTCTTTTATGCCAACTGTTCTGGTTTAGCTTGGTTAGTTGTAATTATGGGTTTGGATTTGCCCATTTTGAGCAAATACGTATCTTTGTTACTGTTGCATGGCATCAAATGTGACATGACCTAATTGTTACATCACAAATTATTTACCTTGATCAATATTATAGACCTTTCTCCTTGCAAGAGGTGCTAGAGGTACAGCAGAGGTGCATAATGTGTTTGTGTGTAAATTAAGAGGAGTGACAGTATTAACAAATTAACATTAAAATAGTGAAGTGCACTAGCTTTTAATAAATGAGGAAACATCAGGATTTTTTTTTAACCTATTTGAAAAATTATTTGAAAGATGTTTATATATAATGCCTTTATCAGAGAGTTTGTGACTTAGTTGTAATCCAAAACACCTGTATTTTAACTCTTCCCCCCCCATTTATTAGCTACAAGTTACTTACAAGAAAATTCAGTTAACTTTTTTTCTGCTGATTAAGGAAACAGCAGCAGAGACTCCTCTCCTCTCCTCTCCTCTCCTCTCCTCTCCTCTCCTCTCCTCTCCTCTCCGTTAACTAATGTCAAAACATTGTAGCATTGGGTTCAAATAACCTGTTCTTGTCTCTTCATGACCATGATAACAATTTAAACAGTAAAAATTTTGGAAATTGTGACAACCTGTTGCTTATTTTCACTGTTGCACTGCACTCCAGATTTCTTGCACCGAATATGCTGAAACGGACTTGGGTTTGTGCCTCTGAGATATGCTTGTATTTGAATTACCATATAAATAATAGCAGAGTTGGACCAGTTCAAGATATTTGGATGAAGCAGGGAGGAATTCCAAAGGAGAAGTAATCTGCACAATTTCCAAATAGTTAGCATGTTCTTGACATATGTCTGTTGGGTGTAGAAAGCCATCCTTTTTTTTTTTTCCTTTCCATGTTTATAGAGGTAATGTCAGCAAACATCTGTTTGTGAACCAAAAAAATATTAACATCTATACATTCTCAGTGCTTTGAAGTATTATAGTTATATGTAACTGTTGAAATTATGTACCTAGTGTGATTATTTCTTGACTGTGGCAGGGCAGACTGATGAATTGGACAGCTATATGTATCAGACAGTTGGACACCATGCCATTGAGCTCTACGCTGATGCATTGGATTTGCCACTCTATCGCTGTGTCATTAAGGGTACCACCGTAAATAGTGGAAGAGTGTATACTGCGTGTCAGGAGGATGAGGTTGAAGACCTTTACCACCTCTTGAAACTTGTTAAGGTATGCTAAATGAAAAGAATGAAATACTTGAGGACAATTATAGCGCTTAAATGTGCTTTTATTGCTTAAATTGCTTGACTCATTTATGAATTTAGGTAAGTGATCCACTTAGGTATTTGAGAAAAGCTTTGGACACTTTTATTGTTAAAAAGTTTAACTTTTATTCCTTTGTTCTGCAAATTCCTTTGCACTGTAAATACATGGTGTAACTTTATTCAATTTATTCCCTTTTTCATACAGTGTAAATCAGGCTTATTAATCCACATTTCAGGCCCAAACCAAATGTTTATGTAGTTTGATATTTGAAATACTGCATTGTTTGATTACTTGAATTAGAGGTTTTTGAGGCTTTGTGCATTTATCAACGCATAGAAATTAAGGTATGTACATTTCCATTTGTTTGCTCTTATGCTCTATAAAGCAGAATCTATTGTTTGTTTTTATGTTGCAGATAGTTCACAAAGTATTACAGAATGTTTTATGTTTTTGATTCTGGTAGCCCTCCAACTATATTCTAATATATCACGTAATAGCTGTGGCATTTTATTGTGTTGATGTCTGCAGTGCACAGTACTAAAACAATACAATGTTCAGAAAAACATATTTATGGTTACTAAAAATAAATACACATTTAATTTTACGGATAAAACTGGTAGACCACTTTTTGAAACTTCAGCTGAAGATAGTTTTGGTCTTCAGTTCAGGTATTGAACGTTTTCCAGCACCCTTTCCACTTCCTCTGTTTTTTCCATTGAAACTAGAATTGAGATTCATAAACCTTTAGCTTATTCTTTGTTTAGTAGAAAAAAAAATCAAAAAACTTTCAGATTAGACTAAGTGGTTTGAATGCAGAGCGCTTTCTGAACCGTGTTGAAATTGGATGTTACATTTTTCTAAGCATCTTTGAAAGGGATAATCAAGATCATGTACCTGTGTTGAGTATGAGACTACTCAACAGGAGAATAGTGCATGTAGGCTGTAGCACTCTAGAGTGCTTCATGGAGGTTTTAAATGGAATGTGCATATCATGCAGTACAGAAATTTAAAGAAATATGGCACAGCACTTTTATATGTCTTACGAATCCTGATAGTATTAGAAATTAGAAGGACTAGTTAGTATATGCTGTCTCTTAAAGCTGCATGCTAGCAGTTTTCTGCCACAGTGTAACATAATAAATTACTGATCAATTTAATTAAAAATGGGCAGATTAGAGGCAATTAAGATCATACTTCCTTTTCGATCCTTGCTGTCTTTGGAGAAATGGATGCTTGACATAAATTAATGCTAATGTTAAATCTTGACAACTTCTGCTTTGGAAGTTAATACATGATAATTATAACTACAACTGAAAGAGATGTTATCAAGTTGTCTGGAACCAAATAACTATTTCTTTCCTGTATAGAAATATTAATTCCACTATATGATAGTTTAAAGATACAAATACTAACATAAAGGTTATTTTAACATACTATTTCTCTTTGGATAACCCTTGTAGTCAAATATATCTATGAAATTCTGGTGCAAAAGTTTCGGTAGAAGTCTTGCATATTCTGATGAATAATTGTATATAGCAGGTGGAAGTAATCTGCAAGAGCTTTAACTCTTTGTGTTTTTAGTTTTAAGAAAAGGAGATGAAACTTCTATATTGAAAATAATTTAGAAAACTTTTTTATTTTGCACATTTTATGACTGCAGTTTTGTAGCCTTACTATATAAGTTTTAATCACTTGTGATTTTCCTTTATGATTTTTTTTTTTAGATGTTTAAAACAGAGAGCTCAATTTGCTCTCTATTGAAAGGATAAGTGGAATTCTGCAGGAGGCTTGTAAAAATGCATCCTTAAGTGAGCTTAATTTCAAAACACTGGTCAAAATAATGCATCTTTGTTTTTCTGTCAAATGGTTTGGGGCTAACTGTGCAGGAAAGGTGTGTCGAGTTGAAAATTGCATAACATGCCTTGCTTTTACATTGTAAAGAATGTTACAATTAAAGGTACTTGTTTATTTTAAAAAAATAATTAAGAACCAACCACATTTGAAAAAACTGGTAGGATGAAATCAAAAGTATGTGATTTAAATAAAATAAAATAAAACATTATGAACGCCTGACATTTAAAAGGTTAAATGTTCCTCTGCAGTGCTTGGAAACCCAGGGCAACAGTCTTGTTGTAGTTCAAGGGACTCAAAAAGTGATGTTGACTGCCAATGACTGTAAACCTGTTAATTTTATTGTCCAAAACCTAGATGATTGTAAATTTATATTTACGCTTTTCTTGGGTAATGTCCTATTTTAGATCGTCTTTATTCTGTATATATTTTGAAATATATCAGAGTATTTATATGATGCCTGAATGCATCTAACCTGGCAGTCCTCACCTGATAGTAGTATTTTTACTTTGTGATGCATGTAAATTCTGAATTCTAATGAATAATTTAACTTCTTATCCATATTACTGAATAAGGATTACTGATATCTTTGATTGTCAATATTTGACACTTTGCATATTGGGGCTTTTTCCAGTAAGCGTGTAAGCTCTAGAGTTTCTTAGTTATCTGAATTATCATTCAGGTTTTTGTCATGTCTGTATCTTTGATATCAGGAAATGTGTAGAAAAGCTGTTTCTTTCCCTTTATTGATTAGAAGGAATGGAGCATGCAGGGGTTTTAATGAAACATTCCTGTAATGCATTCCTCAGCATAGGCTTTAACTACTTTCTCCCTCATCAGTGCAATTATGATATTGTCCAAATAATGCGTTAATGTTTTACGCAAGCATACATTACAGTGGTGTGAGAGAGGTTGTGTGTTGGATGGATTTCGGTTGAATGTTGGGTTGTATTCTATATCCCAGGGATCTACGGCTAAAGCTTTGTTTAGAGTAGTGGTTATAGCAGCTTACAGACTATACAAACCAATGCAAGATAATTTGTTTCAATTCTGGGTTTTAGTAGACAGTGCTGTCCTTTTCCAAGTTTCATGCCTTGTCTTCTGTGTTCTGTGAAGGCTTTGTTTATGTTTGGTAAGTTTCTACTGCTGGGGTGATTTGTGGAAATCTAGAACTATATTGATTAAAAGTTTTTTTTTTTTTTTCTTCAAACTATTTTTCATCTTTTATAACTTTTCAGTACTTGAGTGTTTCAAATTTAGTATTTCAAAAACTTGATTCTGTTTGTTGTTTCTGTGTAATATATTTGTGTATGCTTATTGTAAAGCATGCATGTTGACTTTCTGTGTATTTTCAGTTTTAACGTATTTCTGTCAGTTCTTTTTGTGGTGCACTTTCTGGGTTCTGAACCTGCAAGCTTACAGGAAAAAAAAAAGTATACTTGAAAGAAATTAATATACTGGATCTCAGGACTGAAGGATTATTAATTATGATACCATTCATTGGTTATCATCTGAAAAGTAAGAATTGATGTTGGGTATATTGGATTTATGAAATATTTTAGCAAAAATAGCTTTTGCTTGTGGCAGAATTTCATTTTATCAGCCTTGTGGAAGGGGAAAGAAAGAAAATTCATTTTTTAAAATAATACCACATCCTTGAGCAGTGATCTTATAACTCAGTCAGTTACTAAGAATAGGTAATGTGCTTTGTAGTTGCAGCAACAAAGAGCTTATTAATGTAGTCTGACTCATGTATTTAATTATTTTTTTTTTATGGGCAGGATCATGATTTTTGAAATAGACCGACATGGATATTTACTGAAGACAGGAAGTATTTCTGTCCGTCTGACAGATGAAATTTGCAATTTGGTGTTACTTCAGGTGATACTTTGTCTGACACAAAGTATGTTGTCCATGCAGGTTTGGGTGGAATAGAGATAATTTAGGTACTCTCATTATTCAGTGAAACTCCCTAAGACTTGAAGTTCTTCAGCAAACAGAGCTAGGGTTTGAGATAAATGAATAGAATACTAGATTATCCTGTGGCCTTTGTATAGGGATTAATTCTGTGATAGAAAATAAAGCTTTCGGTTCCTCGTTATAGGTAATAGTCTTCCATGCTACGGAAATAGTCTTCCTTTCGCTGTTCTTCAGAACTGAGCTGCTGGAGCTAATGGGTAAAAAAGGATCGTCAGGTTTGGTGCTGATGGCTGACTTTGTGGCCAAACTTCTGGGTGTTCCCAGTGAAGGTTCATGAGTAAATCTAGTAGAACTTTCTACTGCAGGTACTCAGTGTTTAAAAAATGTTTTATAAGACAGACAGTAAAGTATTTAGAAATAGTCACTTGGCTTTTAGGTATCCATCTTAATCAGCTCTTGGTAGTCTCTGTGACTTCAGTGACAGTATTTGCATGATAAAGTCTAATCCTGTATTCTTAACATGTATAAATAAGGTTTGCAGACTTCCTTGGGAGTCTTAAAGATCTAAATAGTATTAGTTAAGGAATGTCAATTGACCTCAAGAATCTAATATCAGGTCCACAGCATGCTGTTCGCCAAACTAATCTTGCAGTTTATAAATGTTCAGACAAAGCAGGTAGCTTCCTTCTCTTACTGATGGGATTCAGAGAGCTGAGAAGTCTCTGGAGCAGTTTCAGTCATCATTTCCCATTTTCTTCAATTGAAGAAAATTTGATGTTTTCCTTATTACAATTTGTGTGTGTGTGGATGTGTAGGCTAATTTCTTAAAGGTATATTTCTAAAAAAAATTTGATAAAGATTAAATTATAGGAAGAGGTATTTATTTTTATGCAAAATTTCTGGAAAACAAAACAAAACAAAAACAACTCACCCCTCCTTGATTTTTTTCTCCATATCTTAAGATATGCAAATTGAGAATACCGATACTTTGATAGATTAGCTTTACATATAATTCCGGGGTTGAAATACAATTTTTGTAGAGTAAATTAAATGTTAGTATTGAAAAAAACATCCTGAAGTGTCAAGGGAAACACTGACAGATGAAACAATAGAATTTATTTTTTGTGCCCTCTACTAGTCACGTTGATTAGGTAAACATTTGGACATTGTATCTTTTGGCACATTTTTTCTTG